TAATACAGTATTTATATAGCGCCAAACGTTTGCTCAGCGCTGTACATTATAATGGGAGACAATACATGAGACAGTACAGTAACAATAAAATGCAATACACGAGAGGTTCGAGGGCCCTGCTCCTTGGAGCTTACAATCTAGGAGGGAGGGGAGAGTGGTACAGGAGGAAATAGCCGTGGGGGATGGAGTGGTGGGAAGAGCGGAGGAGATCAGCAATTAGGTGAGGGCTGGGTAGGCTTCTCTGAAGAGATGGGTTAAAGCACCAAAAAGCAGAGCCCAGTGCTGAAAAGTCACATTCCATCTTGATTAAGGAAGATATCAGAAGTAAGAATAAAAAAGGCTATCAAAAATATAGAGCTGAGGAAAAGACTCCCAACTTCCTAGGCCATTAGAAAAAAGTGAGGCAGGTTGGAAGCTGGGTTTTAAGGGACTGGTTTAACATTTTTTGTTTGCAAATGTCCAAACCTCCTGAAGGCAGTTGTATAACCCAAATGTCTAAGAATTACTACATTCCTGTGTCTTTTAATGAACAATAAAGTAATTCATTTTAAAATTACAGTAGCATATTAAAAAGCTTATATAAGATTATTGTGATGTTAGGTTACAATTTTTGAACAGTGTGCAAAATACAAACATTGTCCATGGTAAAATGTAATGATCGTACTGTCTTCCAGTCTTCCAGAAGCTATTTTGTATGACATGCTCTGATTTTCTGACTAAGGAACAAACTGTCACTGTAAATTATTTTAAGGCAACTATACAACTATGCTATCATCGGTGACAACAGTTGAAACTGGAGTAATAAAATGCAAGACATAGTGTATCTCTGGACATGTAGGGGAAATTACAGTTGAGGGTTAATGTTTGGGAGTCCGTGACATAATAAAATGTGAGTTGATTTAGTGGTGTGTAGATACTTTGGGACATAATGTAATATGCAGGTGTTTAGTGGTGTGTATACTGGTGTTGGTACAGATAGACACCTAGACAGATGAATGATTGATATACTTCATTTTATTCTCATTACTGCTGCTGAAAGTTTGGAAAACTAACAAGTCAACAAAAACGAGTGCAGCAAGCTGCATTTGCAGAAGCGGGTCTCTCTGTGAATGTGAGGAAGTGGTGGTGGAGGATTAGGTATTTTCACTGAAGGTTAATACTTCATAGTATTGAAAATGTACTTATAGTAGACAAATGTTGCTAACTCAAACTGAGTATATTATTATACCTATAAATGTAGCGCTCCTTATTACCACAATACTATATATGAAAAAAAAAAAAAAAAAAAAATATATATATATATATATATATAATATACTTTCTGTGATACCACACACCATATATTCAAACTAAAAAATCTATTAAATAAAGTGACAGTGTTATAAAATCAAAATTAATATTGTGATAAACAATAATAGTCCCATCAATCAATAGATAGTCCAATATTGGTGATAAGGTGATCATTAACCACTTGCCTACCAGGCACTTATACCCCCTTATTTACCAGGCCAATTTTCAGCTTTCAGCGCTGCCGCACTTTGATTGCAATTGCGCGGTCATGCAACATTGTACCCATATGAAATTTTGATCATTTTTTTCTCACAAATAGAGCTTTCTTTTGGTGGTATTTAATCGCCACTGGGCGCTTTACTTTTTGCGCTATAAATAAAAAAATTGCAAAAAATTTGAAAAAAAAAAAAAAAGTTTCTTGGTTTCTATTATAAAATTTTTCAAACAGGTATTTTTTCTCCTTCACTGATGTGCGTTGATGAGGCAGCACTGATGGGCACTGATAGGCGGCACTGATGGGCACTGATAGGCAGCACTAAAGGGCACTGATAGGCAGTACTAATGAGGTGGCACGGATAGGCGGCACTGATAGACAGCACTAATGAGGTATCACGGATAGGCGGCACTGATAGGCGGCACTGATAGGTGACACTGATGATGGGTACTGATAGACGGCACTGACTGGCATCACTGCTGGGCACTGACTGGCGGCACTGACTGGCACAACCCCTGGGCACTGACTGGTGGCACTGAGTGGCAGCACTGCTGGGCAGCACTGGTGGGTGGGCACAGGTGGGTGGCACTGGTGGGCACAGGTGGGTGGGCACAGGTGGGTGGCACTTCTGGGCACAGGTAGGTGGCACTTCTGGGCACAGGTGTGTGACACTGCAGAGTGGCACAGGTGGGCGCACTGCTGGGCACAGGTGGGTGCACTGCTGGGCACAGGTGGGTGATCTGCTGGGCACAGGTGGGCGGAGCTAGTGGGCGCACTGCTGGGCACAGGTGGGCGGAACTTGCGGGTGGCACTGCTGGGCACCGATCATCAGGGCACTGATCATCAGTGCCGATCCCCGCTGTGACAACTGCCGGTTCTCGGCAGTACTTTCCTCACGATCTGACAGCGTGAGGAAAGTGCAGCCAAGAACCGGCACTTGCATTTCCCTGTGATCAGCGTGTCATTGGACACCGCTGATCACGTGGTAAAAGGCCGCTGGGATCGGCCTTTTACCGCATCACGTGATCAGCTGTGTCCGTAGGACACAGCGATCACGGAGATCGCCGGGGGTGCGCGCCCCCTGGGGCGCGCAGGAGAGCGCGTTCTGGGGGGACGTCATATGACGTCCACTCAGAACTGGCCGGCCGCAGTGAAGCCGTCATTCGGCTATCTGCGGTCGGCTACTAGTTAATCATCAATTTGTGACTTTCTGTGAATCCTCCAACTGATGATGTATGTTCACCTCCTTCTATGCCTAAAGTTAGGCTATACACGCTTGTGGTCCACCAACCTTGGAACCTGCCAACAGATCATTGTTTAATCCAGAGACACAGTGCTGGAAATAATTTTGCAGCTAACACAGTAACTAGAAAAGTGCTACATAAAGAATCCAGTGAACATGTCATATTCCAGTCTTCGCAACTACTACCAGCCTACTTGATAGGGAGCCTTGAGGGATCAGGATCACACCAGAGGTTGTATCATGGCCCTGGACGTGTAAAGCTGTCTGTGGCTAACAAACCACTACTCTAGGGGGAGATTTACCAAACCTGGAGAGAGCAAAATCTGGTGCAGCTCAGAGCTGTGTATAAATCAGATTACATTGTTCTGCTATTTTATGCTGAATCTGCTCCCAAATAGTTTATTCTAGATCAAAAGTGTAAACCTAACAGGAAAATCCAGGTCTGAGGACGAGGTGATGCAGTCTGTTGCAGGGAAACCTTGGTCCTATATTTAGAGACTTAAGAGGCCAGAGGATGATTGAACCTATTGGTGCCCATCCTAACTGAATGATCATCTTGGCTTGAGTTATCCATAGGCCCCATGTACACGGGACGTTTCTGAACGATGGAAACTGACTGCTGGAAAACATAGGTTAAAAAAAGTCTGTTTAGCCGCGTTGGCATAACGCGTTTATGCGCATTGCGTTTAGAAGCGTTTTCTAAAGATAAGCAGAGGAGAACCTCCCAAATGCCCAGAATGCACTGAAAAGTGGTAAATTATTAACTATTTCAGACTGTTTCAGAGAAATACACGCAGAAGAAGCAGACACAGCAGTATGAGTTGCTCATTAATATTTCTTTTGTTTCCAAGGGTGGGAAGATGTCTGCTGGAGTGAGTCATTAAGGTCACCTGGCAGGGGGTCTGCATGAGGAATTTGTGGTTTGAATGTGCATTAACTTATCTTTTGTTTCCAAGGGTGGGAGAGGTCTGAGGTGTGAATTGATCATTACAATGTGTGACAAGCTTGGTAGGAACATCCTGTGTTAAGTGTTTTGTCCATCTTAGCACCTTAAAAACTCTTTGCACGCATTTTTCATGATGAAAAAAGGCTCTGGACAGCATTGGGAACTGGAAAGAGTTAAAAAAAATTTTCAAACGCAAACGCTTATAAACGCGATTTGCCGTGTTCACAAGCATTTTGCGTTTAAAACGCTGACAAAAGCAACATCTGAACGCAAGTTTGTTGCATTCAAAAAAACAACTGTAAACTCAATTGCCTGCAAACTACTGTAAATGAAGAGAAAAACATTAGGGTGAGTTCAGAGGCTGCTGAAAAAAACGCTAAACAGCTCCTAAACGTGAGTTTAGCAGTTGCAGTGTACATGAGCCCTTACATGATAAAAGTTGTATATATATTTTTTTTCATTGTTTAGCTTAAAGTACACCTGTCATGGGAGAAGTACAAGAGCTTCAATCTTCTGGAATTGCTAGTTGCCTGTCTGTGTCTGTTTCTCTGAATCACAAATCTAGAGCAAGCATGCTGTTTATAAGTGTCAGAGGTGTCATTCATTTCTATTCTTGTTCCAGGTCAGTTTCTCAAAGCATTAGGGCTGATGCTCATATATGCGAGCATTATTACCAGCATTTTGTGTGTTGACATGCACAGGTAGCCAATTTACTTTGAATGGGCCCATATAGTGATTTCAAAGCCATATTTTGCATTTTTTTTAAATAACAACCATGTTGTATTTACCTGCTTTGTGCAATAGGTTTGCACAGAGCAGCCCTGAACCTTCTCTACTGGGGTCCCCCACCAGAGATCTTGATTCCTTTGCCCCATTGAGTGCCCCCCATAGCAAGCCGCTTGCTATGGGGACACTCATGCGAGCAAGCTCTCGAGCCAGATCTGCCGGACGGACACACAAAGCATGGCTCAGCCCCAACTCCCACTCCATTCTCACTGGCTATGACTAACAGCAGCGGTGTGCTGTGTCTGAGCCTATGAGGAGCCAAGAGAGACAGTGAATGATTGGTAAGATGGATGAGGTGGATGGACTGAAGGGGGGATAGCCTATGAAAAGGTAAGTCAATGAGGAGGGACTTGCAGAAATTGAGGCCAGAGATACCCAGGGAGTAAATTAGAACCTTTGTGGTGTCGTTGGTTAACCACTTCCTGACCGCCCTATAGCAAGTATACTTCTACAGGGCGGCAGGGGTGCGCAAAATCACGTATATATACATGAATTCGTATTTCTTGGTAGGGGGCGTGCACCCTACCCACGTTCCTATTAGCGGCCGCCAATCACCGGGTGCAGGCGGGTGATTCCCTGCGGCGCCTGGTGATTACCGAGCATCTCCGACGGGAGGAGGACTGCTTTGTTTACTAACAGTCCTCCTCCCTGTCAGCTCGGGCTTCTTCTCTGGATGGTTGTGCACAGCATAGCGATTGAGAGCAGTGTGCTTACAGTGAAGCACCAACACACCACCCCCCAGTAAAACACTCCCAGCACACAGTTAAGACTTTGATCGCCCCTCATGTTAACCCCTTCCTGCCCAGTGCCATTAGTACAGTGTCAGTGCTTTTTTTTAGCACTGATCACTGTATTGGTGTCACTGGGGAAGTCAGTGACACCAAGTCAGTTCCCCCCAGTCTCAGAATGCCCACCGCAGTCCCGCAGTCCCGCAGTCCCGCTATAAGCTGCTGATCGCCACCATTACTAGTAAAAAACCCCAAAAACTCCAGTATCTATACTGCCATTTGTAAACACTGTAACTTTCAAGTAAACCAATTCATTTACACGTATTGGGATTTTTTTTTTAGCAAAGACATGTAGCAGAATACATGTTGGTGTAAATTTATGACAAAATTTGATATTTTTTTTTTTTTTTTTTACTAGACATGTTTAAAAGCAAAAAGTCAAAAATATTGTTTTTTTTCTCAAAATTGTCGATCTTTTTTTTTCATAGATCAAAAAAAGAAAAAACACACAGCCGATCAAATACCACAAAAAAAACTCAATTTGTGGGGAAAAAGGATGTAAATTTCATTTGGGTGCAGCATTGCATGACCGCGCAATTGTCAGTTAATGTACCGCAGCACAGTAACTCAAAAAATGGCCTGGTCAGAAAGGGGGGTAAATCCTCAGGAGGGCAAGTGGTTAAGAAGCAGCTTATGTTGCAGAGATTGAGGTGGTATGATTTGGACAGTGATTGGATGTGGAGCCAAAAGGATAGTTTAGAATCCATTGTTACATCTTGCACCTTGGCATGGACTGATAGTTGTACCATCAATCTTGACAGAGAAGTCAGGGGAAGGAGCACATGGGTTAAATGTGGATTTGGCTTAATTGTATGACATCACCTGGCAGTCATTCTGTCGAAGAGGCTCCAGATTCCGGCATCAAGGGTATTCAGAGACTCCCGTCAGCTGACCAACCTCTGGTGAGCTTGTCATCAGTGGGTTGGATCTAGCTTTGGCAAAACAGGGATGCAATGTCCTGGAATGCTCCCCCCTCCTCTGCATCTTGGGGTAAGTAGTCCTTTTTGCCTGTTCTCCTTCCTGGGAAGAGAAAGGCTCCTCAGCCATTTAGCTTAATGGGGATTGGGTGTCTGTTTGCTATAGAGGCTGTGTAACTGATTCTATGCCTCATGGCTAGAGCCTGGTTCTAGAAGGTATCAGCCCTCTGAGCAGGCTGTGTGCCGATTTTGAGGCCCCAGGGCTGGAGCCTGGGCCTAGAGGGTATTGTCACTCTCCTTAAGACAGGCCATGTGGGACTAAAGATATTTTCTGCTGCAGTCAACACTGTAATAAAGTTACACATCAACCTCTTGCATTGCGGGGCTTTGTCGGCCAAAAGAAGTTCTGTGTGATACTTCTGGTTGCATGTGATCCACGCAGCGACTGGTAGTCAAGAAGCTGTAGAAGCCCTGTGTGAGTTTCGGGTATTCCACCTCCTTTGTCTGTCTTGTTGTCCTTCTTGTCTTACCTACCGAGTTCAAGTATAGCATTGAAAACTGTATTCGATGGATTTGTTTATATTTTTTTTTGCTGTATTCACACCGGTGCGACTTGTCATGTGATTTGCCAAATTGCATGAAAAGTCACACTCTATTGTCGGCAATGGAACCAGTCAAATCGGTGTGATTCCAACTTAAAACAATGGTTCCTGCACTATTTTTTGTTATTTCAGGTGCAACTTGCAAAGATATCTGTCACACAGATGTCAGGCATGTCGCACCTGAAATTGTGCTGACTTGCAGCTTTGAATTCGTGCAACTTCAAGGAAAGTCGCACAATTTCAATGTCAGATTCGATGTGAACCAGGGCTTAAAGCCCATCTCATGAAAACATTAACCTCTGTAATTTAATTGAAGTTTGTTCTTTCAAAAATTCACCACAGATCTATTGCAAGTGAAAATTATGTTCAAGTCTGGACCTGCATTTCTTGATTAATGCCAATAAATGATATACTCTTGGGATAAAGTAGGAGGCAGTTCCCCATACAAGCTATGGCGCTTCTAGGTGGAGCACTAAATACCAAGGAGTTACAGGACACTAGATGATAAAGGCTCAAGGTCCCCTGTTGGCCAGGTGCTGCTGTAGTAACTTTTTTCATGGATGAACTAATGAACAGCGGTAATGGAATCCCTCTGGACAGCATGTGAGCTTCATGTTTGGTCACCTTTTCATATATGTGAAGTGGATCCACTGGTCTGCTCCAGGTATCACCTGCCATGAATAACAGACACTGAAAAACAAAGGGAGCCGTATGCTGGAACAATAACCATAAGTTTGTGTTAAAAAAATCTCTGGTACATCCACCTGAGCTCCTCCCCTCCTGAGAGTTATTGTTTAATGGGTATTGATCTGGAGTGTGGCTGCCTTTCTTTTTGTGGCATTTTTACATATACCAGGTTATTGTAGACTTGACAGACTACTAGTTTTAGTTATCATATGCAGCAATCTGCACAAAAATATGCATCTTGTTTAACCTTAAAAGATATGGAAATTTACCCAGGAATAATAATTTCAATTTGGGTATCAATAAAGTTACATGCTACCTGCTATTATAGTACTTGATTTTGAGCAGTTTACATTTTTAGAGACTACAGGCAATAACCAAAAGTGTTAGGGCTCGTTCACACTTGACTCATTTCTAACTCTTGCCAAATGCCCCTATAGCATTTGACAGGCGTTTGGAAAGCATTTTTAATGCTCCTCAAATGCTCCCCAAACGCCCTATGCACGTTTTTGAGGCATTTGATAGGTGTTTTCCAAGCATTAAAACCACACTCAAATGCCTATAATAAAGTTTAATGCTATTGACGCTCCACAAACGCCTCGCAACCACCTCACAAACACCCCACAAATGCCTGCATTTGAGGAGCGCCACCATAGACTTGAATGGGAGGCTTCAGCTCCTCCTGATTGGACATGAGGCGTCAATTTTGATGAGATGTGACACTAATGCTTCAGTGTGAACAGCACTGCGTGCTGCCATATGTAGAATTTTCATAGGCATTTGAGGAGCGTTAAAAACGCTTCCCAAAAGCCTGTTCTTGCCTGCTAACAAAGCTAGTGTGAACTTAGCCTTAGTGAGCTGATGATTTCCTGTGCTCTTCCCTGTGCTGACATTCAATAATTAGCACTGCTCACAGCTCTCTGGACTTCGAAATACCACCCTACCGATGTTATGTGTGAAGAAGTGTAGAGGGGAAGGTGCTCTGTATTATTTTCTTAAAGCGGCAATGCTTCTCCTTCATAGATACAGTAAAGTGAGTGTTGTCACTCTGGGACCAAAGTGTATTAGTAGCAGGATCATTAGACTGAAAGTGTTACTTAACCTCAGACCCTGCAATCACTATATATCTGTCTCCCACAGTACACTCAACATGGAAATGTAATTATGTTAGTAAATATAAACTGATAAATACCATTTCTCATTAGCAGTTAGAGCAGTCTTGTGACTTCTATCAGTGTCCAGCAAAGCACTGGTTACAGTTACAGTTTTCATTCTGCTGTAGGAGGATGCAGGACTCCTGACCTCTGTCTAGACAGTGTTGATTGGCCCTGTGCTGATCACATGCACCCAAAAAAAAACTCTTTAGCAATACACACAAAACTGAGCATGTGCAGCTTGCCCCAAAGCCTCTGTTCTATCAGGAGATATTTAGTAGACACTCGAAAAATGAGAGGATCAGAGAAGACAGGATAAACATCCTTTTTACACAATGTGGAGGATTAACCCTTTAGGTTCCAGAGTCAGTATAACTGACTATGCTTTACTGGATATACAGACTTATGTAAGGCATTTTCCAGTGAGAGACGAACTATGAATAGAAATGCGCATGCGCATAGAAACGTCAGAAGAGTGATCGGTTGTTCGCATGCGCACGGAAATGCGTGACCGCGCTCACACACGCGCACAGCGAAGATTGGCGCCAGATGGACTATTTAAAGGGTGTCCCTGCCCATGTTGAGTGCTGACTGATCTTTAGCTTCCCCGTGTCCTGCTTGTTCCTGTGTGATTCCCTTGTTGCTGACCCGGCTTGTTCCTGACCTGACTCTGATTACCTTCCTGATTGATACTGGTTCCTGACCTCGGCTTTGCTCCTGACTTTGGCTTTGCTTCTGACTTTGTACCTTGCTGTCTGCCTGTTGATGACCCTGGCTATTCCTATGACACTACTCCTGTCTCTCCCTCTCACTTCCTGCCTTGATCTGGTGCACACCTGGCAATCTACAAAACCAGCTCTGCATGTTACTACTGTGCCTGAATCAGAAGATCATCAGTCTTCCAAGGTCATCATCTGCAAGAGCTGCAAACAACATCTGCTGGCACTCTTGTCCCCCTGGTCCCTAGACACCCTCTGTTCCAACTCCAGTGGGGTCAGGGCTAGTGACACAAGTGAGGCCGACCTCGTCATTTCAGTCTCCCATCAGGTACGTGACATTTATTTTACTATTGTGGGTTTAGTAACACTTTACATAAAGGAAAAAGAAGGCCAATGTATCCAATACAACTGAGGACTGGTAAGCTGCAATGAAGAACATTTTTTCTTGGGTTTATTATTAAACTCAGTCCATTTTATACAAGGAAGTCATAAACAGGTTAAATTGTGGAAGATTTGAGGGTTGCAATAATGTACTTGGTAATGACAGATAAGCCAGGTAATTATACGAGCAACATGGCAGCATACAAAACAACAGATTATAACCTAACATATGCTAAAAACCTTTATTACTAAACAAAAATAAGATATGTGTCTGCCTTGGCTATCCCTTCCCTTCTTTACATATACGTAACAGTGAAATATTGCTTTACAGTAAAGCAATGAGGATTCCTCTTTTTTTCTCGATCAAGGATGACTATTCCATTTACAGAGTTCTTTCATCAACAAGAAAATGAACAATTAGCAGACACACCCTAGCAGAGATTCAAATGAAAGTAAATTGAATCATGGAACATTAACAGGCTGATATCTATAATCATTAACATCAATTGGAAATGATTAATTACTGTATTAGCCTCATTGACTTATTACAATATATACAGCAAAAATCTTTAGCCCTCTGAATAATTATACACTAGGGACATAGCGTAACAGAACATAAATAATTACCTAAACAATAAAATAATGTACAAATGCTGAATTAGAAAGAATTACATTTTTG